AGGGAACGATGGGACAGGGGGGAGGAACGACGGGGTGGTTCCTCCGTCGGGGTTGGGGTGGGAGGGGGACACGGAGTCCCCACGGCCATTGGGAAGCAGCTTCTTTCACGGTTTCCCCCCCCCGTGCAGGTGTGCCTGATATGGAGGGGAGCACCGGGAGGAGGAGGAGGAGGAAGGAGCCCACCTGGGAGGGGTGAAGGGCTGGGGGGTGGCAGCACCACCGAGTGACCAACCCTGGGGAGATGCAGGTGGCAGCTGGGGGTTGGGGATGCAACCTCGACCATGGGGGAGAAAGAGGGGGATATTGTCCCCCCAGGGATCCCCTGTCATCCTCCCCTCCCGCAGGTGTCCCCAGAGCAGGTGATCCTGTCCCACAGCCCCCTGCGGCTCTTCAGCCAGTTCCACCAGAAGTGCATGCTGGTGGCCGGGCAGGGGCCCGTGGAGGAGAACGCTCTGAAGTATCCTTTGCTGTGTCCTCTTCCTGGGACTCTGCCTCCTGTCCTGCCCGTGCCCCCGACACTCGCTCGGTCAGCTTGTAGAAGCGCAAGGAGACAGAGAGATCATCGGTCTCATGGGGAGGCACCTCTTAGGGAGAGGCTCAAATGCAGGCACTAACTGGTCATCCCCATCTTGGGCACCTCCTGGCTGTCCTTCTGCATTTGGCTTCTCAACGCTGATTACCTCTCCCATGATTGCTGTTCCCGTGGGTGGGATGTCATCATGAGAACTCTATCAGCTTTGGGCTTCTCTCACTTTTGAGATAAAATTGTAAACCTCCCATCCTTTCACGGCAAAAGGCATTAGAGATCACTCCTGGCTCTCCTGCGGCTCAGATTGTCCTCAGGGATCTGACAGCAATGGAAAGAACTTAAATGTCCTTAGATTCAGAGCATCCCAGTGCAGGGATGTGATTGAAATTGCCTGGCTGAGGCAAGGGCACGGCAGGTCTGACACGTCCCTTGTCTGCCAGGCGGTAAGAACTGCCTGCAGGGGTTGCGACATCTCAGCCCGTACCATGGAGTCACACCTTGTGCTTAACATTTAACTTTCTTCGGGACAAAACCTTGCCCCGTCCCTGTGTTTCCCTGGGGCCAGTAGGGCGAGCTCAGGGTGAGGTGTTCTGCAAGCAAACGCGACTCATCCTTCCCTTGCCTAGTTTGATCAGCTCAGACCATTGTCTTCTCACCTGCTGAGCTGACCAGAGCTTCCCTGATTCTGCTTCCAGCCAAGAGGTCTGACCAGCCCCCTGTGCTGCACCAGTATGAGAACCCTGGCCTTAAAGGTCTCCCAAAGCACATCCGTTCTGCCTTGGAGCAACCTCTGCTCTTTGCCTAATTCCAGGGATTGCTGATCTCAAACTAAATCACCCCAGTTGGGGGTTTGTTGTAACCTGTAGGGCCACCTGTAGGTTGAAGCACAGCATACATTTTTACTGAAAGCCATGAGGGTATGCATTACCTGCTTAAATAACTGCTCTGTTACTAGGATGCATATTGCTTAATCCTGTAGATGCTTTTTAAGTAACTTAAAAAAAAAAAAAGAAAGTCTTCACAACTTTCCTTGATGGTCTGAAATAGCCTGGGGTTCAAGCATGTGGTCACCATAGAGGCACTGAGGAAGGCGTATCCCCTGCTGGACATGGTGGACCAGAGCCGGAGGCCAAAGGAGCTGGTAATTTGCTGATGCATCAGTGGAACGGGTGGCCTGGGGTGGGTGGTGGTCCTTACGGCGTATGGCATGGGGTGAAGAAGCTGCAGAGGCACAGAGAAGCTGGCTGCTAGTGACTTGGGGTTGGACTTGACGATCTCAAAGGTCCCTTCCAACCATTAACATTCTGTGATTCTGTGACTTTCTTTAGCAAGAGCCCGGGACTGCTACAGCCAGCATGTCCCTGCTCTTTCCAGTGTTGGCTCCTGCAGGAAGGGTGGTGACTCTCCCCTCTCTCATGCCTTGCCAGTCGTTCATTGCTGTTCCTTGCAGCGAGCCGTAAGATGGTTTGGTTGGCATCTGCAGCTCTTGAGACAGGAATGCCAGATCTGTGAAATCCAATCTGGGATGGAGGGCGGGGGAAGATCTTTCTTCGAGATCCCAGGTGGCCTTGTCTTGCCTCTTTATGGCACTGCCTTGGCAGGTTCAAACGAGGCATTTTTAGCTTTGTGTTGGAGACGGCGTTAGGTTCTGCATTACTAACCTCGCCTTCGTTATTTTTCTGGCAGCCTCCTCCAACCACTGGCTTCCCCACTATAGAAGGTAAGCAGTAGCCTTTGTTTACATATGAACAGCAAGCAGAAAGAACAGCGAGGGGAGCCAGCTGGGATGGGAGCTAACGATGTGCTGTTGGCTCATCAGTACCCACAGGCAGCTTATTCAGAGGATGCAGTCAGGAGGCAGCCTCCCTGCCCTCGTGCCGCGTGAAGCACAAGCTTGATAAGAGCAAAACCAACTTTCCTCTGTGCTGTGCTCCAGTGTTTGGGACCACTGGTGCAGCGATATGGTCTGACTGGAGCCCTGGCACCAGCCGTGTTCCCACAGTTGCTGTATTAGCCAGGGCATCCCAGCAGAGGAGGGGTGTCTTTTGGTAGTGGGTCCTATACTTGGATGCTGTGAGCTTCCAATCATCTCTTGAAATCTTCCAGGGGTCATTCTGTTTGGCGAGCCAGTGAGGTGGGAGACAAGCCTGCAACTTATTATTGATGTGCTCTTGAGCAACGGGAACCCTGGGGCAGAGCTGCAAGATATACCATACCCCCATCTGCCTGTCCTTGCCTGCAACATGGATCTCCTGTGGATGGCTGAAGCCAAGATGCCCAGGTGAAAAGCATATGTGGTATTTGTTTTAGCCTATTTCATACATCTCTCCTGCAGATTATCTTCTCTTACTACGTTTTTTAGCGTTAGAGTTTGACTGTAGGGCATAATTAGCAGCAGAGATATGAAACAAAGACTAAAACTTTGTGTGTTTTAGTCCACACACCACCTGTGGAGGTGTGTGTGTGGGTAGATAGGGTGTCCAGACTAGGTGGTACTAGTCCCAACTGGCTACAGCAGATGGTCCTCCTCACTGAGGAGCGCTTGCTACTTACGTGGTGTGACTGGGGATATTGATGACCTCTTTTCTGGAGCAGGTTTGGCCATGGCACTTTCCTTCTCTGCTTGGAGAACATCTACAAGAAAGTAACAGGCCGGGAGCTGAAGTATGAGGCCTTGATTGGCAAACCCAGCACGGTCACCTACCGCTATGCCGAATACCTGATAAAAGAGCAGGCAGAGAAACAGGGCTGGAAGTCTCCCATCCGACGCCTCTATGCAGTTGGGTAAGAGAACATTTTTCCTGATGGTTTCCTTGGGGAGTTGCCTACTGACTTCTCTTAAGTGTGGTTTGTTTTTTTTTTTAATGGATATTTCTAAAATGAATACCAAAATCCCCATGGCATCTCTGGAGCCTCACATCCTGGAAGAGAGGCTTGCTAGCTTTTTGCACCCTATACTTTTAATAATTTGAAGGGCCTAGCAAAGCCGTCAGTGTGGGATGCAGAGCACACGTGGTGTGACTGGATTAAAGAAAAAAGTTCAAGAGATTCAGATGTAGTACCAGGAGCCCAGTTAGGCCAAACGCTTTGGGAACGTAGGGAATACGTTACAGAAATGACTGAAATTGCTGTGGGCGCTTTGGATGTGTCTTTGCCCCTTTGAAAGATGTTTGTGAAGCATGTGGCCTTCACCACAGCTGAACAGGATGCCCCAGTAAGTAGACTCAGTGGCCCAGTCTAGGTGGTTCTCTTGATATTAGCAAATATCTTGAGGGAGCCCCTTCCTCCCCCAGTACTGCCTTAATCCCAGTCCACCAGAGCCAGAAATTGATGCATGGGCTAGTTTCTCATTCCTGTTTCATGCTGTAACCTTATCCAGGGACAACCCCATGTCCGATGTCTATGGGGCAAACCTCTACAACAACTACCTCAAGTCAGCTCACCAGAACCAGGTCCAGGCTGGGGTGAAGAGGAGCCTGCAGGCAGCCAGTCCCCAAACCAAGGATCACCTGGAGCTGAGGAAGGACTGCAACAATTCAGTGGAGAGCTGTGAGTCGATTCTGGTCTGCACTGGGGTCTATCGCCACGATGCAGACGTCCCCAGTAAGACGAAGGAGCCCACGGCAGAGACGGTGTTCCACGGCCATCGGGACTTTTGCTTCGACCCCAGCCTGGTGGAGGCATCTTACATAGTGCCAGATGTGAATGATGCTGTGCAACTTGCTTTCAAGAAGGAGAACTGGAGCTAGGGTTAAGACAGGTGTGCCTAAAGATCTACCGTCAGGGATTTTTATGTACTGGAAAGGGAAGAGAGAGGAAGAACGGGGAGAAACCTGGGGTGATCTTCTAATCTAGCCAACAAGAAAGAAAACTCCCTGTCCCAGCACTAAAAGCCCCTTGATTTTATTGGTACTCACCTGCAATCCTGACAGCTGCCAGCAGGCTTTCGACTGTGAACGTACGTTGCTGCCATCAATAATTGAGCCATAATGGAATCAGGGTATAAGGAGAAGGCTTGTCCCAGCCATCCCAGTTTTGTTCAGCCGTCAGACTTCTTCCTTTTCCACCCTTTGTGTGTGAAGCTCAGGCAAGCCCACCCTCCTCCTCGCGACGTGTTTGAGCATGAAGCTCTCCCCTGCTGGAGGAGCCACCATCAGCCCACGCACGGCGTGCTGTTCATCTGGGCTGTGATGTGAGCCCACCAGAAGCTGCGTGGTGGTGGCCCTTTGCCAAGGGAAGGCTTTAAGTCTTTTAACATTCTCCTTATTCTTCGGAAGTGCCTATGGAACTTTTTAACCAATTCTGTTTGCTTGGGGATTTGTCACTGCATCGCTGTCAGCTCGAAACAAAGTCCCTTTCTGCAGTCCTCCAGCAGCTATGGCAAGGCAGGGCCCCCTCAAAGGAAGCTGCAGTAGCCACAGCAACTTGCTGCAGGGCTGAGGGGGGAAAGTTATATTATTCCCTCCTGCCTGTTTAGCATTCTGTGAACGCTTCTTCTGCCTTTTTGCATCCCTCTAGGGAGCCAGCAGCCTGCTCTCAATAGCAGAGGAAACCATGGCAGAGTCTGAATTTCCAGGGTCATCCCCCTGCTGCAGCTGGCACAGCTTCCAAAGAGGGGCTCCTCTTCAGAACAAGGGCCAACCGGGCAAGAGTCACAGCCCACCTTTGCTCCTTCCTTGCATGCAAGGATTGAAATAGGAGATCGCCAAGCCAGGGTGGTACCTGAGCCCCAAATCCCCAGTCTTCATCTTTAAGAGTACGAATGTATCCATCCTTTTTTCCTCTCTCTTCTCGTGTGGTTTGCAGCTCGGGGATACCCCACCTGTTCCCTCCTCTTCCTTTAATATGCAGGTAAAGTCCCCCTAACATGAACTAGCAGCAGGGACTTGCCTGCCCAGGAACATTTCCATGTCCCTCATGAAATGCACCTTCTCTTGCCTCTGTTCTCCTAGCTTGGGCTATGCAGAAAGAGATGAAGACCTGTGTCTCCTTAGACAGTCCAAAGAAGCTAAGCAAGCCTTGCTTAAGAAACTCCACGTGAAAGATTGGCTCAGCAAGGAGTGTCTTAATTCCAGAGGAGCACTGTGATTGTAGAAGCATAAATCAGGCTTCATATGCGATGGAAAGCCTTTGGAGCCAACACAACTGGGTTGGTATTCCTAGTTAGCTCACACCACACTGAGAAAATCAGAAATAGGTCTGCTCTGCCTCCTCTTTCTTCCTTCCTGCTTTACCAGGCAGCTCTGTACACAGGGTACAAACAAGATGTGCTGTGCAGAAGTTTGAGTTGTTCCCAATTCAAATCTCAGTATCCATGTGCACTGACATTCTGCTCCAGCTGCTTTCCGTCTTCTTGATGCTGAACTATCTGCCTGGGAACGTCACGATGCAGAGCAGGCTCAGTTCCAAAGGTGTTCTCTTTGGATTAATTTATGTCCTTGGAAATCCATAGCAGGAAGCACTCTTCCTCTCTAGTCTTCCTCTCTTAGTGCTGGGGTTCTTCTCTGTTGTCTTATGAGGACAGGAATTTCTTGGCTTCTTCTAAAAGCAGCTGTAATGCCAGCAACACAATCTTAAATTTGAATCTTTTTGGCCTTCACTGGAGAGAAAAAGAAATCACTATTTCATCTGTTTGCACAAGGCATGGGCTTGTCTCCAGTTTCCAGAAGCGTGAGCACAGGGAAGGACTTTGCATGTAACATAGGGAAGGTCTTCCACCTTTCAGCACATTTCCACAGTCACAATTGTGCTGTGGACCCAGCGTGCAAGGCCTGAAACTGGAGGTCCAAACCCTGTTTGTCCACAAACTAGCTCCAGTGTCCCTCAGCCTCACTTTTCAGAGGTGCCATCCAGTGCAGAAAGAGGAACGCCCCCTTTCCTTGCAGTATTTGCTAACTTGGGTGATAAATTTTATAGGATTAACTGGGAACAGTCTTCTAGGCCATGATTATGTAGACCTGAAGGCTGGTTGCTGGCAATAGCTGCTACCCACACCTTCAGTTTGGTAGGTACTTATGTGCCGAAATGCTAAAGTGTGTCCATCTGAGTGTGCTCAGTGACCTTTGGCAGACCCCTTTCTTGCAAAGCCTGTGGTGCCAGTTGCTCCAAGACAAGGCGCCGCTGCACCAGCATTCCCTGAGGGACATTGTGCTGCTGGATCAGTTGTCACAAATGGAGCCAGGGGTGCTGGCTGCTGCTGCGGGGATGGTGGCAGCAGCTTTGAGGAAGGAACATGCAGAAGAATTCGGAGAAAAGCACAAGCAGTTTATAATTTTGTTATCAGCACGCACGGCACTTCTCAGCCAGAAGGTGAGGTGGGTAGCAAGAGGAATGAGGTGGCACCTCTTTCAAGAAGGGAAGAGGCTTAGGTTTGCACAGGGAGTGAGCCAGGCATCTCCATCTTTGGAACAGCAGCGGAGGTGAGCTGACTGATGTGAATCTGCTTCGGGTTCCAGATCTGCTTTTAGCTCCAGATTTCTTTTTTTTTTTTCCACCGTGTTAGTGTTGAAGCAGTGCCCTGGGAGTCTTAAAAAACCACGTAGGAGGAACTTCAGTGATAAGGAATTTCAGAAATGCTTTGCTTGCGAGTTGAAATTGGACAGAAAGGAGGAGAAGGCATCTAGAAGAATCTTGTACCCTTTCCCCAATTCTTACCGAGTAAGGTTGCATAGAAGGCTCTGCTTGTTTGTCTGTGCAGTAATTAGTCAGATGGGCTGCTCTTGGTCTGAGCAACACAGAGACCTTTCCCCTCTTCCCCTCTCAGCTCCTTGAAACAGCGCGAAGTCACTGCCCAGGAATTTTATGGAAACAGTGGAGGGAGTAGGAAGTCTGGGTTCTCCAGCTGCTGCTGGATACTGACGTGATTGTGGAGGATTTCTACAGTCAGAGGCGCTTGCCAGGTCTCCTCTGTTCCACGAGTTTTGTGCTGGAGCGCTGTGCGGGCTTCTAGCTAATCAGCAGTTCGTTTATGGACATCTGTTATTGCTAGAATTCGGTGAAATCCTTTTTCCTTGGAATTGCAGCTTCCTGGAATTAGCCTCAAGCGTGGCTGGAACGAAACTTTTCCTTCGTCTCATGTATTGCACAGAAGTGGTATTTCTGAAGCTGTATTTCTCTCATTTGGAGCAATCGTACTTCTGTGCAGATTATGGGACCAAGCAGGAGAGGGGACTTCACTTGCTGATCTACTACCTTAAATATTTATATCATGCACTGCCCTATACAACAAACATGGTGAAGACCTGACCCTAACAACTCCATCTTCCACGGGTGGATGGGTTTTAGTCAAGCCTAAAGGGAGTATGCAGTGAGACGAGGCAACTGAGAACATCAGGGAGGACCCAGAGAAGGGATAGACCTTGTTCTGGATCTGAAGCAGAGAGCTTTTATGTCATGCAATAACATGGTGGCCTGAAAGACCAATTTCCTTTATTCCACAGGATGCACACAACTACTAGCCTGGCATTCAGGGAGTCACGTAACACTACTGTCCCCTTCCTTCCAATCTTAATCCTGGTTTTTCTCTTTCCTTCTGATAAATGGATAATGTTTCGGATTATGTCCTGTGCACTGTAGCAGAGTGATCATGTATCCTACAGAGAAATCACAAGCTGTGATTATTTTAGATTTCATACTAATTTCAACCCAGTTCTGGAGTTGCTCCTTTGATCTAGCACATATATAAAATAATAAAAGATGTTTTCTTTGAAATTAATTTTAACTTGCTGTGTGTATATTTCATGAGTCTCATCCTGGTCTCTTTCATATCTTTGCCCTAGAAGATTATCAGGGCAAATTCTGTCTTTTGTTCTGTTCATGAAGCCATTCTTAAATTTTCTTGAGGCAACCACCCTGAAAGATACCCCTCCAGCAGTTCTTTTGACTGAGCCAAACTGCAATTCCCTGTAAGTTCTACATCTGCTGTAGTCAGGTGAGAGGAGTGAACTTTGACTATTCCTACTCTGCAAGGAGTGAGTGTGTGTGTGTGTGTGTAAAGAAGGACACATCACAAGCTATGATGCCCTGACAGACTGTTCACAGTGGAGACTAGTTTTGGGGTGGCACCTCTGTATGAGATGCTTTCAGGGTAGGCATTTAGTTGTGACTTGACCTAAGAGTTCTTTGTAATGATTACGTGTACTGGGTGGGGAAGCCACAAGCCAGATGCCACCACCTGAATCTGCTATTGCAGATGAAGAACAAGCCTAAGGGCATACGGGAAGCCACCCTTACCAGGAGAAGCTTACTTGGCTCTATGTTAAAGCCTTTGTGATCACAAAAGAAACCCAACTTGTTTGACAAGAGCCATGCCCTGGTACCTTTTGAAAGAGGTGAGTGGAGTTAGGGAGACATATACTAACTGGCAAACTTTCAGATTAGAGCCAGAAGCTTCCACTGATTTCAGCAAACGGAAAATTAAAGATCCCACTAGGTGAAAGCCATCAGCTTTAGTGATTTAGAAACAGCCAATTCACTTGCGCTGTTCTTAGAAGATATTCCATCAGAAGGTTTTCCATCTACAAAGTTCACAGCTCACAGGAGGCACGTTAGACAGCACAACAAGCATGATTCAGAGTCCTGAGGACTCACTGTTGAAAGGAAGAATCGATAAAGCAGTAAAAGCAGTTTTGGAAAGACTGGACAAGGATTCCCATTCTCAGCAGAGAGAGGAATTGAATTGTATTCTACATGCTGGAGAAATTACCTAAGGCCCCAACATCTAATAAATAATAATAAAAAGCATTAACCAGCCCTCTCCTTTTATCCAGTACTCTGGCAGTTGGAGCACTCACCCAAGACTGGGCGTACCAAGGCTTAGCTAAGCAGAAACAGATCAAAACCTGAACCTCTCAGACGAATGCTTTTAATCATTACACTATTGTCAAAGCAAAGGGGCAGCCTAGGGTTAAGGTGTCCCTTGTCAGAGACAGTCTTAGCTGAAAGATAGAGTCCCACTGAAATCCTTAACCAACACAGGAGCAGAGTTAAACATTGGCATCACAAAACACTGAAGAATGAACAACCTGAACTGTGTCCAGTTCTGGGCTCCCCAGTTCAAGAAGGACAGGCAACTGCTAGAGAGGTTAGAGCAGAGGGCTACAAAGGTGATTAGGGGACTAGAACATCTCTCTTGCGAGGAAAGATTGAGGGTCTTTTTAGTCTGGAGAAGAGAAGGCTGAGGGGGATCTGATCAACCCCTATGAATTCTTAAAGGGAGGTTGTCAAGAGGATGGGGCCAGTCTTTTTTCACTGGTGCCCAGAGGTAACGGGCACAAACTTGAACATAAGAAGTTCCATCTAAACATGGGGAGGAGCTTCCTTATTTTGAGGGTGGCAGGGCACTGGAACAGGCTGCCCAGGGAGGTGGTGGAGTCTCCATCTCTGGAGACATTCCAAACCCGCCTAGACATGTTCCTGTGCAACCTGCTCTGGGTGGACCTGCTCTGGCAGGGGGGTTGGACTAGATGCTCTCCAGAGGTCCCTTCCAACCTCATATCAGTCTGTGAGCGAGGGCGACTGAGAGTTCTATTCAAGTTGGAGTTTGCTCCCAAGTGAATGTGATGAGAAACCCCTACCAGAGCAAGTGCTTAGTCAATGGCTTCTGGTGAGCCTTGAACACAAGTTAAGCAGTTACCTGCTCACCCTGAAACAGACCTTGGCCCTTTAGGAGCAAGTCCAAACCGAAAGTATCTAACCTCAATTACAAAAGCACATATCTTTATGGATTTTTGCAGCCACACAGTCAATTTGATGAAAATTATGCACTTAAATACCTTTATAGATCCAGTCTGCAGCAGTTTAAAACCCCACAGCAGCGAGGCAGCTACAGGTTCTCGAGGAACCAAGGCATTCCATCAAAGAAGCACTTTTCTCTAGTTCACTATAATCAACCTGCTTTTCCCATTCAGTCAGTTCAGCTACTAAGAACTTTCACTTTTTCCTCAAGGCCAGTTCCAATACACACTGTGTGCCAAGACCGAGTAAAGTACAAAATACTAAGAGCAAACCCCAAATCCTCTTCGCTCTTCAAACCCCTACCCCACTGCAAGCATGAAAAAAGCCACCTCTTTGCATTTTATGCTGGTATCAAAAGCTCTTTGAACTGAAACGTCATTACAAGCAAGAGATTGTTACACTTTTATACCCTTTTGAAGAGTATCTGCATTTCCCAAACCCTAATACTGGATCAGCAGTTTAGTTACAAAGACTCTGCATTCAGAGGCAGACAAACCAAGGCATCTTTGAATTTTGGTGCTGGCCAGGTGAAGCTCTTCTACACTTGCCCTGGCAAATTCAATCCCGACCCTTTGAATGCATTAGATAAGTGCAGGACAAAGCGTGTGTCAGAGAATCCCAGAACCTTCCTTTCCCACACAAAAGGCATTTTAAGTATGGTTAGAGCAGATTAGGCTCCAACTCACTGAGATCAGCTTTGCCTCCTTCCCTCCCACTGCTGCCAGGTTCTGACAGCTTACTGCAGGGTATAATTAGGGATTTAGTCTCTGGTCTTTCTTTCAGGCATATATTTGCCTCGTTTTTTTTTTTTTTTTCCTTCCCCCAAGAAATTGAGTCATTATTTTGTTTCCCTCTTGAGTTCTGCCCTCAAGAAAGTTTTGTCTTTTCCCCAGCAGGAGGATTTTTGAGGGCACGCTACTTGTTTCCACTAGTAGTGGAAACTGGAAATGGTAGCATTTCAGATATTCAGTCCGACTATTTCACAAAACCCTGTTGTCTGCCTTAAAATATCCACATACACACACACATCTATGCGTACACATAAATACGTAAAGAAGCCAATGCTTTGGAGCAGCTGAAGAGTAGAAGCTATTTATAGCTTAGCCTTTTAATGTTTTAACAGTAATGGTTAAGCACTAACACTTCCAGGGACTGCACATTGCATTAAATAACTGGATCACACGGGAAGCATCAGCTTGTCATATCTCATCCTACAGTGTGCTACAAAAAGCTCTTCAAGTAGAAGACATTTCTCCCCTCACTCCCATCTTAAAGCGCAGGCACAATTTCTGCTTCCTTCCGCACAAATAAGCTCTTTTCTTATTCTCACCTCTTTCTTGGGGTTATATTTGCCCTGCTGGAGCCCATGCCCAGCCCAAGGAAGACCTGGAGCTCCCACCCTCCTTCCTAGTGCTCCCCCATCCCTGCTTATAGCTCCCTTTGCCCTGTAGCCACAGGTCCCTGTTCCCACCTGCCTACCTTGGACACAGGGACCTTCCCAGCCCCAGCATGGATCCTTTAGTCTCTGTAGGACAGTTTCCACGTGGCTTCTCTTGCCATGCTCACACAGCCTCAGCCCAGCAGGACCATGCTCTCCAGGTTTGAAGAGGTTCAAGCCCCTTCAAATAAGCCCACCTGAGCCCAGGCAGGCTCACAGGTCCTCCCAGCTCCCCACCAGGTGCCTTGCTTCCCCCGTTCCCCTGGGCTGAGCTCACCACACCACCTGGCTCAGGGGGTCCCACCCAATTGCACTCACCCCAGCAGGTGGGACAGATGCCAGGCCAGCAAGAAACACACCCAAACCTTTGTGAAACGAGGCTCTGGACTGATAGCAGAGGAGACACGAGTGCCTCCGGGCAGACTGCCAGGGCAGCTAAGTGAGCGTGTCCAGCCTACGGTGCCCAGGGAAGCCCATTGCCCAGGAAACCTGGAGCAGGAGAGCCAACGAGGCAAAGCCGTCACCGTCTGCTGCCCAGGTAGGGCAGGAGCAACCCTCTCTGCGTGAGGGCTGTTGCCTTGAGCAGCCCAGGTGGATGCTTGATTTTCACTCCACATCCTCTCATAGAAGCAGGAAACTTTTCTTGCAGAGGAACAGGTGACTGGTAGGAGCAAGACCAATTCTGCTAATGCTCAGAGCTGCCCCCCTGTTAATTATGCCAGTGACACAAGCGTTGGCTTACCCTGAGGAAGATCCCACTTTAGATAAAGGCCAGGATCCAGTGTGTTAGAATGTAATTTTACCTTGTACCCTTGATCACCGCACACACTGCCATCTAACCCAGCGTGGAAACCAAATTGTGGAACCAAGTTGTGGAAACCAAATCAGGAGACACAGCTGGTGGTGGTGTTCCCAAACCCTCTCTGCCACCCTGAGTCATCCTGAACTGGGCAACTCCCGACACCAGTCAAAGAGAAGCAGCGCTGGGCCCTGCTCCAACCTGAAAGAGCAACGCAGAGAGGAAACACCCCCCTTGGCTACGACCTCGAGCCTCACACTCCCTGTGTAACAGAGACCATCCAACAGAACCCTAAGCAAGGTCTTTGTGGAGTTGTACCAAAACGGTAGTCAAAGCAATTGACTTTTTTTTTTTTTTTTTAATTTGGCAAGCCTGTCAAAGGGAGAAACACACAGCCTTCATCTCTGACAAAGTCCACCCACCTTGAGAGGCTGGAGAGCAAAGCCAACACCATGGGATGGTCCAACACCATGGGATGGTCCAATACCATGGGATGGTGTCTGGCAAGGAAAGGAGAGGCGGCTCCCTGCTGGCTCTCTTCTTGGGTCTTGAATGACCTCAGGCTGAGCTTCTGGGCTGAGAGTGGTGCTGTGTTGCTCCTGTCCCACAAAAGCTTGCTGTTCTCCTGTGCTGGGTGGCTGTGGGCCAGCACCACACCCTGGCAACGCAGAGGGAAGTGTCCTCTGCTTCACTGTGGGGGCAGCGAGGTGGCAGCCCCTTCAAGGCATTGACACGGGATGTGGATGGTGGGGAGCTCCGTGGGGCAGAGGGGATGCTGAGGCTGTGATGCCAAGGGCTCAGCAGGACACAAGTGGCCTGAATTAAACGCAGGCAGCTCTAAACGGGGCTGTTTGGAGGCTGCTGGGAGAGGTCCTCAGCCTCAGGCTGTCCTGCAGTCACCTGCTGGAAAATGAATGGTGACAGTGCTCTTTGGACTCACCTGATCTTAGATTTGTGATGTTGGTTACAACAGGTACAAGGCTAGCAGTGCTGCCTGACGTGTCCTGCTCCCTCTGCAAGCACCTACAGAGGTCTCCTGCCTGGTTTGCCCCGGGGTGAAGCCTGGTGTCCTCCATCCTGGTAGCAGGCTAGGATATACCAGCCCATTCACTGCTCTCCAGGCTGGACCATCACGTTTCTTACAATATGCTATAATTCCTGACCTTCTCAAACTGAAGTATTTTTATTTGCTAACTGAAGTATGGAATTAGGGAGAAAGGGCCCTTAGACAGCAAGAGAGCTCATGCGTGTTCAGTCTCACCTGAAGCTACGTGCCATGACAGGGTGAGTTAGAGGAAGGTGCTGAACACAAGTAGGGCTGATGCCAGGTTGAATCCTGGCAAGTGTATCCAGGCACTGAAAACAGAAGGTGATTATAGCAGAGAGGAGGTGTGCCCTGTCCTAGCTGAGACCCAGCCACGCAGGCAGCACCAGCATAGATTTCAAAGCAGGATAGCCACCAGCACGGGAGACCACAGGAAGGCCTGCATGTTGGTACCCCGGTTTAGAGGTTGCACCACTTCAGTACTGTGCCCAAGCAACTACATTAAAGCATGCACAGCCTCCAGTTATCTTTCCCCCTCCACCTTCTTTTGACCATCCTTTTAGGAAATTTATCTGTGCCCCCTCACTCCAGTCTCCATCGACTGTATTGCTTTTGCTGTGATTCTTCTTTGTCTTTCCCTGCTCTTCTTGTTGATTATTGCTATGTCTCTAAAGAAATCTTTGTGTCAACCCACCTCAAGCTCTCCCCTTCCCTTTCTCAATCATTTCTTTGTTTCAGGCTTAAGCATGAATTCTCCAGACTGATTTCTCCCTGTTGTTAAGAGCAGCCAGTGCCATTTACTGGAGCAGGGTTCCTCAAGGAGCCTGCACCAGCGTGTATTAGATGTTTGTCACTTCTCTCCTGGATATCCTTCTTTTGACCATGCTTTTAGGAAATTCATCTGTGCCCCCTCACACCAGTCTCCACTGACTGTGATGCTTTTGCTGTGATTCTTCTTTGTCTTTCCCTGCTCTTCTTGTTGATTATTGCTATGTCTCTAAAGAAATCTTTGTGTCAACCCACCTCAAGCTCTCCCCTTCCCTTTCTCAATTATTTCTTTGTTTCAGGCTTAAGCATGAATTCTCCTGGTACCCCAGACTGATTTCTCCCAGTGCCATTTACTGGAGCAGGGTTCCTCAAGGAGCCTGCACCAGCACGTATTAGATGTTTGTCACTGCTCTCCTGGATATCCTTTCCCAATACTAAGCAGCTGGGTTTCGCTCAACCCCATGCATTGACAGGCAACACCCTAAAAAGCCAAGCTATTTTGGATCTTTATCACGAAGTGTAATTAATGCAGTTTGTGGGTACAGCTGATTCAGTAATGCTTCACATCATTGATAGGCAGCACCCGGCTCCTCACCAGTGAGCACAGGTAGGAAAGAGGGACCAGTGACACCGAGCACCAAGCCACCGTGAAACATGGTGTGCCAGGTCACTAATGGTGGTGCTGTGACAGAACCAGCCAGCCAACCTCAATTCAAGGCCATTATTAGTGGGTCAATAAAGGCATTGACCGGCGTTTTCAGTAGAAGTAGGAACTTCAGGGCTCCTCACATCAATTTAAAGCCTCTGGCCCATCCCAGCAAGCTGGCACAGCCCTCAGTATGTGGCTCAGCTCAACTTGGGAAACCGGTGGGGTAGAAACCACTGGTTTTGACATACAACGGACCCAAAGTATGGGCATCTGAATGTCCAGCGCCACAGATGAGGAGCCAGCAGTGAGTGCTTCGTGGCAGGCTCTGTGCCAGGCACCCAGCCCTCCTCTTGGTCAACCCAGAGACATCAGGGGACAGTGATGTATTTCGGATTTTTTGGACTAGATACCAGGGGGCTGTGGCATGTCCACTTGCCCAGCCCCGTCTGGCTCCATTCACGGGGGTCTAGGGCAGGGTGGCAGCTGGGCCGTGCTGCCCGAGATACAGCTCTATGGCAGCCCCGGGGGATGGGGGGATGTCGGGGGGGGCTCTTTCCTCTCCCTCCCCTTCTCGACCCCCCCTCTCCTTCCCTCCCCCGCCCGCACAGCCTCTCTCCGCTCACCCACCCC